TCAGAGTGTTTTTTTTTTTTTTTTTTTAATGGATAATTTAATAAAGAATTTATGAACCATAATATCTCAACGATCGTACGACTTATTAAATCAAAACTGATCGAAAAATAGAAACGATTACTCATTAAAAGAATTTCTGCATAAAATTCAACGATGTCTTTCTTTAGAATCGTAATTATTTTATAGCTTATTCGAATGCGATCAATTCTTTAAAAATAATAATGATTCATCGCCCGAAACGTTTAAACGTTAAATGTTTTTTTTTTCTATTCCATTAACCTAAAAATTAAATCGCTAATTTCTTAATAATCGCTTCATTATATGTACACCTATGATGATAGATGAGAAAACATTTGCACGTAATAAAATTATAACGAACACGAATAATGAATAAAATTATATTATGATCGAGCAGAACATGATGATCACGATTCTACGAGAAAAGAAATTTAATTCATTTTTCTATTCATTTTGCATTTCGTTTTAAGTTAATCGTGCAATATTAATAAAATATTCTTATAAATATTTCCTTAAATTATATCGTATCTAGCTCGAAAGGATTATTTACGCGAGGGAGAGGAAAGTCTTTTCTACTTTTTCACTTCATCCTATCTAGTCAACTGTCCCTAATGACTGTTAAATACGTCATAGCGTGTGATTAATATTCCAGACCGTCTCTTGATGTTCTTCTTGCCAAAGAAGGGGGAATACGAGGCGTGGAAAAAAAGAAACGGAGAAAGAAAAGTTTCTTTCGTTTCCTCCTTTTTTCTCTCCTATTTTTTTTTCTCTTTATTTTCACTTTTTCCTCATCTCAAGAGATGAAAAACAAAGTTATAATCGAATAACTTCAACTTGTTGGTTAATCGTTCTTGACAATTAAAATCGTGTATTGTGCAAGTTAGCTAATCGTACTAGCGAAACAAGTTTATCTTCACACTCTGATTATGCCTCGATCGCGGACGTTGTATCTGGAGCTATTTTGAATAATAATTTCTGTTCCGATCTGGAGTGACAAGTATAAAACGACTGCGGTGAGAAAAAAATGGCCGCGAACATGCGTCATAAGTTGTTGGGAACGATAGCAATGACGTAGACGTTTAGTGACTATCCAATGTATCGTGCATTTCGATGGAAATTTTTTTCATAAATTATAAAAATAATAATAATAATTATAGAGGAGATATCTGGATATCTTATCGATTTTAATCATCTATGACTAACTAAATTCAATGTAAACCTAACTTCAACAAAATATGTATAATATAATTTTGATCTTTTGGAGCTTTATAATTATTATAATTAAACAAATTCACTGAGTTGAAACTAGTAGAGGTAAAAATAATACGTAATAACATTTCAAATATTTATAACTCGATATATTTTTGGAATCATAAGGAATAAGGAGGATCGATAGATTTTTTTTTCACCAAATATGATATATTTCTCGTGAAACAATTTTTGATCGAATCAACAAGGTAACGAGATATTTCAAACAACCCTTTTATCTATCATACATTGAATCCAAAAATCCTACGCTACGTTTAAATAATAATTAAAAACAAACAAATAACATCTCCATTTACGATTTACCCGCGTCTATTTCTTGCATGCACGTGACTATATAGAATAAAAAAATTTTCTCTCCCCAGTACTTTAGTAAAAGGAAGGTGATAATGATTCTGGATTTTGAAAGAAATCTACGTCTACGTTTCCCGAAACGTTTATTATAATCATATCCATTTATACAAACGCAAACGCAAAATCGTGAGCCCTACGATTATCGATTACACCTACACACCTAAAAGCCGGAAAACAAAGACGGATCTCGGGAAAATTGGAATCCCACCTAACCTCTACGACCGATCGAAATTATTTATTTTTTTTTCGCGATAAAAATCAATAAGTACGGCGACATCCTGGCAACGGGATACGCAGCGTCGATAAATGTCCGATAGGGGAATACCCGTCAACGTTTCAACCCTTAACACGATCGTTAAATAACCAAGCTTATTACTCACCGCTACCATTACCACATACGAGCTACCAAACATACGAACAAAAGACAAACAAGACTCAAGGATCGTGCACACGTTTCCAGCTTTATCGTGTAAAAAAGGAGGGGAAGAAAAAAAAAAAAGGAACCGCACCGCATCAGAACGGCGAAAGGTGCTCGCGAATTCTACGTATCATTGCTCCTTTCACGCTTCTCCATATAGTGGCTCGAATTAATCGTTTGGATACTTTGCGAATAAATATTGCTCCGCATATATATTGTATATATTTGTTTGTAATAATATCGAGTTGAATTAATTCTTTAATAATATTTAATCTATGTTAATATATTTTTAAAAATATGAAATGTAATTTGCTGAATTTGAATATTTTTATGATATCATCCATCCTCGTTATTCAATTTATCGCTTATTAAATATATTTCTACAGATTATAACTTGTTATCAACTCGATAATATTGTAATAAACGAATATATAGAGCAATAATCTCCATCATATCATGATCTCAAAACATTAATGCGAGCCACTGTGGCATATACTCACGTCATATTCTCTCTTCTACATTCCCTATCACTTTTTCTCTTTCTTTTATACACATATACACACACGTGCACGCATTCTTTCTCATATGCTCGCTCCCATTCAGATATGTATATACGTTTAAGTTACCACCTTCTTCTTCTTCTTCTTCTTCTTCTTCTTCTTTTTCCTCTTGTTATTCTTTTTCTTCTTCTTCTTCTTCTTCTTCTTCTTCTTCTTTCTCTTAAGCAGTATCGTCGACGAGGTCGTGGTTAAGTCGATCTTTGTGGGTGGGCCCCGCAAATCGATC